ATCTGCTTATGCAAAACTTGATTTATTAAATAATGAAATAACTCAGGAGAAAACAAGGTTTCATGATATTGAAGATGAAAATCAATCACTCAGAGGTAATTTTATCGGGGACGAGAATGGAAATGAGCGAGAATATTAAATTAAAATTATGAAATATATGGTTATTATTATTATTATGTTATTTTTAAAAAAATATTAGACCAAATGCAAGGAATGGCTGATCAATTAGTGTCGAAAGAAGAGGAATTTAATGAATGGCAAAAACAAGTATGAAAATTTTTACACATATATAAATTTATCACCCTGTTACGATTTTCACTCACACGCTTGTTATTGTAGTTGGCAGAACAGACAAAAAGAGAACGTGAAGTTCTAAGTGAAGAGTTTGAGGAACAGGGAACGCAGCTTAAAGAAAGAATTAATCAACTCGAAGATGCATTAAATCTTGCAAATTTAGAAATCACAAGATTAACCATCGAAATGGCCGAACTAACAGATCCTTGTCAATCTTCTGCTTCAGATTCAGGAAACGAAAGTAGATCTTCATTGGAAATACTCTTCACCGACAAAGTAATATTATATAAAATTTTTTTTATATATATTCATCATAATATTCTTTTAATTCCACAACAAAAAGTCTCACCAAAATAAATCTTCCCACTAACATATTCAAGAAAAAAAACTTCGACCAAGATAAACACGAATTAACTAAACAAATACTTGAAATCACACAGCGTAGGATGAGTTTACAGACTGAATTGACATTAGTGGAAGAAGAAAATACTGATTTAAAGGTAAACATCATAATCTTTACTCTTCATAATCCTGGTAGTAATAATAATAATACGATCTATTATTGTTGTTGCTACTAACAAAAAAAAACACAAAAAAAAAAGGAAAATCGTGGTCGTTATTATTATTCTTCATCTTCATCTTCAGAAATAGCTTTTAAAGATCAAATAAGACAATTTTATGTGGGTATTGAAAATTGACAAAGATTTTTTAATTCTTGTTTTTTTTTATGTTATGTGATTTTATTTTATTTGTGTGGTGTTTGTATGTGTGTGTTTGTCGATAAATCAATATATATTAAAAAAAGCTTCAATACACACAAATCACGAAGGAGAATCAAACCTTACGACGCGAAAATGATGAACTCAAACAACAAGTTGGAAAGAAAATGTTTATGAGATCGATGGAAGACGTTAATCTTGATGATTAGGGAAGGACGAGGTGAAGAATAAGAAGAAAGACGTGGGAAGTATAATGAATATTAATAAACAAATGTGGATAGATGAATGAATGAATTAACGAGTGAATGTGAAAATTATTGTCATGGTTTAACGGTAAAATGTTATATTTAATACATTAATTATTAGGAAAAAGGTTCATCACTAAATTTTTTATTAATTATTTTATATATAGAATTCAAATGTTAATTCATGAATTGATTACTTTATGATCATTACTTAATAATATTTTCGATTAGAATGCTGGCATTCTTCCGTTATTTAATTCTTTCATTAATTTCACCTACTAATTTCCATCAATCCACCAATTCATTCATTCATATCCATATTCTTTATCTTTGTAAATATTATCAAATTTTTAATTTTTATTTAAATTCTTTTGTTTCCTCGTCTCTTTTTTTCACCTTTTTATATTTCCTTTTATATATATATGTATATGTAAGTTTCTGTTTTTTAGCTTTTTTCTCATTTATTTATTTAAATATGTCTTATGGAATTTATTATTCGGGATTTATTATTTTTAAAAAAAAAAAAAAACAAAAAAAATTCAAAACTTAATGTTTTATCAATTACATATGAATAAAAACAAACCATTTTAAAGAATACACAGTATGGAAAAAAACGTTTTTTATATAAAATAAATAAATACGCCCGTAAAAAAAGTATGTTTAGAACTTTATATGCTTTTGGTAGTTGAAATTTGTAATTATGCTATTGTGTGATATTAATTACCTTGTTAGTCACGTATATTGGCTTTGGACAAATGATATATACATGTATTTTCATCTTTGAGAAATAATTCTTGATGCTCGAGATCCATAGGAGTGGGTGTCAATATTAGGAATGATAAAACTTTAATATCTTTTATAATATTATGATTTCTATCTAGTTTACAACAGCTTAAATTCATGGGAAGGAAGGAACCATTAACAATCCTCTTGAACTTTTGTCACGCCAAGATTAGATAAAAGCTTCAAAAAGAAAATGTTTAATTTCATAATACCATCCAACTTTTTAAAATATGCTTCTAAACTAGATTTAATATCGAAAGCCCTTCTCATTTTCATACTGGATCTTTTACAACGTCTACAATATAATCCACGATAGAGTCACTTGCTTAATCCAAAACTGCAACCACAATTGAATTTGATATAATGTGGATGAAATTTAATTCAATATTTTTTTCATAAAAATTTAAATGGTTATAATATTTTTTTATTTTGTTCCCATAATTGTTATCACCAGATGTTTCTTAATTCCAAACTAAGTATGCCATTAGGACCAACTACTATTGCTAATGTCTTTAATATGCCACTTTTATTGAGGCAATTATCTTTAAAATTTTAGAAAAAACAAAAACTTTCATAGTAACGTTTGGGTATCCATGACAATTCACTATATTACATATATTAAATAATTATGTACTCACTCATATATATATATGTGTGTGTGTGTATTAAACAACTATTAGATAAATAATTGAAATAATGTTCCAATTGGTAATAATCGAATAGAGTAGGAAATTATTTTATAATAAAGTCATTGTCTTTATCTAATAAACTTCATATTTACTTGAGTTGTATAGATGTTTAATAATAGAAAGCAAACCTTTTCTTCGATGAAACTTCAGACTGCTTGATGACATACACTCGAGTTTACATTTAAAAGTGACCATTAATTTGCCTCGTTATTATTATTATTAAACATAAGTTTAGAAAGTTATTTAAGCCTCTGTGAATTTTAAAGCACAAATTCAAGAGAAGGTTCATCCTTTAAACTCATTACAAAAGTTTTCAAAAGAAAAAATCGCGTAATTATTGATTCCTATTGCATTTTGCGTTAACATGTTCAATTTATCATAGTTGATAAAAATTCAGACACTTTTGAAACGGTCAATGTGGTAATTTCTGTATGACAGACTAAATAATAGTCTTTACCAGTATCTACCCGGGCCTTCTTGAACACATCTGATGAGCCTATCTCGAAGGTTTTGCTAAAACTAGACATAAAACGGTTCGCAAAAAACAATTGCGAGATATTAATATATCCAGAAAAGAATAACATATATTCTACACAATTGTAGGGTCAACATTGGACACACGATGAGATAACTATTTGTTGAGGCATGTTTTTAGTCGAAGAATAGATTTTACAGTTTAGGCTTAAGAATATCAGCTTGTACAATCTCATCAATATAGCAATCAATGAAAAGAGATATTTGCAGTAGTTTTTAATTAATTAAATGGGAAAAGAAATCACTTTAAGGCGGTGGTAATAATAATAATAATCGTTATAGAAATAATTCAATTTAAAAAAATATATAATATATTTTCCTTCCTATATTTGTTGTAATTTGTAAATGAAAAGCAACCAAATGAAATTCATTTCATTTATAATAAATTTATCACACACCATTTTATATTATTGTTTTGTGCTAACATTCTTTTATTGGCTATAATTTTTCTTTCTTTATAAATCTCATAGGTGATTTTCTCTTTTCTTAGATAAGCTTTCAGTGACTGAGTGTATATCATTTATTTTGAAAACATAAGGTGCACCTTGTTGGTAATTAAATAAATAATTACAACATCTTTGAATATGATGATAATTATAATTTTAACCCAGGGTTGAAATTAATATTATTATGATATTAACTTTATAGGAATATGATCCTTTTTGATGATTTGTGTTGTAGTTAAGTCTTGCTGTTCTTGGATGAAGATGTTGATGTTGAAATTGATATTGAAGTTGGTGAAAATGTGGATTTGGATTTAGAAGCAACGGCATTTCTAGTCGCAGTAGTAAGCATGCCAATTCTTTCTTTTATTCCTTTCTTTTCATGATCATCCTCGCCATTTATTACTACTGCTATAAGTACCATGAAAACTTGTTTCCATTTTTATTCTAATTCCCACCATTATCAGGATTGTTAGTATAAGTTGTAGTGGTAGCAGTGATAAATCATCTGATGCTTGTTTTATGGCTCCATTTTGTTTTTGTTTTAATTTGTATTTGCTTCCTTTTTGTGAATATATTAAGATTATCTGTATTGGATATATAAAAAAAAAAACAACTAATTGGTGTATATAATGAAACATACTAATTTTTTGAGCTAAAGAGTTTAACACTTAATTTTGTCCATTTAGTCTTTGTTTAAGTATATATATCTTCAGGTAACTCGACATATATATGTGTGTATGTGTATATATGTTAATCGCTTATTTTATTTTTTGGTAAGATATTAAAACATACCAAACCATGCCATTATAAAAATCTTTTTATAATCATGCTGCCTACTTCAAATTACTAAAACTAAAATAAAAGTTTTTGAAGCTAGTGTATAGAGATTAAAGTTTTAAAAAACAATGCAATTAATAATGTTTTGAAATTATTTACATGTAATCGAAAAATCAATCAATTTAGGTATAAAAATAAAGGTGCTCACACATTATTATCATTAATTGAAATCAATGCCATGTTTTTTTGTAAGAGAAAAAGGAAAATTCAAATTGCAACTTATTTGAATTAAAAAATTGAAATTGAAAATATTCATCTCCCATTTTATTTTTATTCCATTAAATTTAGTAATAAAATATAAAATAAAAAAAAAAACTAAAAAGATAAAAAATCATCTTATATGATTTATTACCTACCTTATTTCCACTACCATCATAACTTTCATTGCTGCCACTAATATATTTATTTTCATAAAATTTTTTATAAAAACAAAAAAAAAAGAGAAGATCTAAGCTAAAGCTAAAAGGATAATAAGAAAGAATAATATTTATTCTTCATAATTCCCAGCCCACAATTTCAATTCCTAATTTCAAATTTCAGTTCTTAATTCCAAATTTCAAATCCTTAATTTCCAATTTCTAAACCCTTCCATAGAACACACATTCAATAAGATTTGTAGTGCAGGGTCCTGATAATAATTCTTTAACTTGAGCTGGTGGCTGCAGTCCGAGTTTGCTTGCTCTGTTCCATCTTTGTAGTCTCGTTAATCCTACGCATGGTCCGTATGTGTAATCCATATCGAAAGCGATAAGAATTCTCTCTTCTTCACTAAGATCATCGTAATGAAATACTTTCAAATAATAATGATAATATTGTTATTATTGCTATTACAACATTATTAATCTTATTAGCACTATTAATTAATAGTAATTTTAAACTCACCTAATTTTGATCTAATTTCAGATCCAACAGAATAAGACGATGATGATGATGTGGCAATAGAAGAACTGGTAGTAACGCCGATATTTGTACTAGTACTTGTACCAATAGCAGTAATATTATCATCTTCTTCCACTTCTGCCCCTCCTTCAACTTCTTGATATGATAACGATAATAACTCATCTAAATCTTCATCTTGTTCGAATTCTGATTCAAACAATTTTTGGTTATCATCACTATTATTATCACTATTACCGCTACTATTACTATCACTGTTTTCAGCATTATAACCTTCAGGATCATCATTGCTTTTTCTTCTATTTCTTAAAATTACACGACTCTTCTCCTGCTGTTTTGGTTTTTCTTTATCGTTATTGTCATCAGTAATGTTAATAACATCAGTGTCATTAGTTGTCGTAGCATTATTATGTTTTAGTTTCTTTTTTGGTTGAGTGCTGTCACCTTCATTTTTATTTGTGGACCAAAAATCAGTTAGTTTTTGTTTCGTTTCTTTTTTCTTTGGTGGCATTTTGATTGACTTATTTAGTTGGTCTTTTAAATAATATATTAATAAATAGATGTGCGTCTTTATAAAATAATATATTTTAATTTTTTTAAATAAAAGAATGAAGTGAAATAATCAGAAAAAAAAGAAAAAAAGAAGTTAGTAGAAATGAAAGAAATGTTGTTGTTTATTACCTCAAAAAAATTAGATGTTGATAATAATAATTCCCGTAAATCTATCCGAAGTTGATCTATAACAATAATACGAATAAAGAAAAAAAATTAGTTTTACCTTTTTATATAACTAAATAATTATTAGAAAGTTTTTGTTTAATTCTATTACTTGAAATGAATAAATATCATTATTATTATCATGAATCCTAAATGGTGAATTTGTTGATGTTATGGTAAAAGTAAGTATGAACATTAAAGAAGTAATAACATAATTATTTAAGTATTTATTTAATTCAGCCAGGCTGACAAGTTATTATTAACTGAATGATCCAATTTAGCTGGGCTCGACAAATTACACTCACTGTCATGTATTAATTATTATCATATTTCTTCCAATAATTAACCCAATGTCTAACATTTATATGATTCTCTATTTCCACTTTTGTAAACTCTAAAATGCCTAAATTGCCATACAATTCTTGAACCGGATTATTAATTGAGTTGGCGAGTAACTTGTTTATACGACTAGATCATTCTACTAATTCGTCTCTTTTGGCTTGATGTTGAATGACTTTTCATTGAAGCTATGTATAAAATATTACAAAAAAAAAGTCTGTATACATGTTTTGTGTGATCATTATTAACATTAAATAATTATAAGGAATAAACTGCTCTCGGACAATCTGCAAACATCAAAAAACGATCTGTTTGATTGTTGGGAATTTGTTTAGAGGTGTAGAAGTATATCTTCAAGACTCGGATATTTAAAACATTCCCAACTGTTCTCTTCTTCCTTGGTGAAGGAAAAGGCTCATTTGGCCTGATACATCCGATGATACAATGATGCGATTAAATTTCAAGGGGGGTGGGACTCATGACCCTGGGATTTTATTGATTGCATTGTTGTCAAAGAGAGTGTTAAAACTTCTCGATTGTCTGAAGCCTATCAATTCTATGGTTATGAGAGTATGAAAGCGATGCATATTGATTACTTGTTTGTAAAAGGAAAATTTTATCAAGCCTGACACTAGGATCAGAGTTGTTGGCATGCTGACAATATCCACACGTAATATCAATAACAACAATATCACATCCTACATGGAAAAAGCTTCAACAAAAATATCAAGGGTTTATCTTCCAACATCGCCAATTTTCTCTGGCTTTTTTCAAAATTGATTCCTTGAAAGGTTCGTTTCTGGATGGTCTTGGTATTATTGTTAATTGGACAATGAAATTATCTATTATGCATAATGACAGCAAAAAAAAAGACGAGGAATGTTTTATTCAACAAAGAGAAAATACATAATGATTTAATTTATATGTGTAAATATTAAATATCAAGATAATACCCATCAGAGAAATTGCATGGGAGAATCCAAAGCCATTGATGCGTATTATCTATTCTTTGGTCACTCAAGTCTATACTATATTTTCGCTATTATTATTAATAATTACTAATATTAGTATCTTCTTCTTTATCTTCTATATCATCTCCAGTTTCATCAATGGAAATACTGTAGTAATTTAAAGTTAACTTATTTTATAAATGACTGACTAGTTATTTGTTTATTTATTTATCGAGTAGAAATCTCATATGAAAATATTGGTATGAACAGAACTAATAGTGATCATAGTAGTTGATATAAATAACATGAATGAATGAAAAGATGTAATACGGACGATAGTCACGTTCTTAATTTGCTCGTTTTTCAAAGTGGTAGAAAATAAACACTGAACAGAATGTGTCCTTTGATGCGTTAATTGTTAATAAACACACCGGGCTATTCAAACCGATTGATGAAACAACCAGATCTTGCGAGGGCTTTCTAATTAATCTTTTATATTAAAGATGGTGGGATGATCAATCATATTTTCTTGGATAATAATTATATAAATTAAAAGTTGTGTAAAGCTTCTTACGATTAAAAATAAGGTGTTTTTTAAATTCATTAAAAAAAATTCCAACAAGGAATACACATATCTATAATCAATTCATCGAAAATAATTACCCCGTAATAGTGATAAATAAAATTTTATCCGTACTAGAATTTGTTTTGGGCTTGACTTAATAATTATTCTAATTGTTTTATTCTTGCTAAACTGATAATCTTTGCCTCCGCAGAATACGTAGTAAATAAGAATAATCCAAAAGTTATGAAAGTAATCAAAGATTCACAATCACGTTAATCCTAAAATCACCTATGTAATATATAGTCTTAGTTTTAATTTATGGAGTATATTTATTTATATTATTAATATTGGGCGGACGCTTATTTATTTTAATAATAATAATAAACAGTATATATACAACTCGGAAAATAATGTATAAATAAAATACCTATTAATTACAAGTAAAATACTTATTATATTTTTATTTCCCATTAAACTTAATAATAATAACAGATAGAAGATTTTTGTAAAAATTTATAACGTAAAAGAAAACCAATTATTTATTTTATTATATTTATATGAATCCACCAAATCGTTAATTCAATAAATTTTAGTGTGGAAGGTTTGTTTTTTTTAATTCTTTGCAAGATTATTGTTTCTAATATCAATCAATTAAAATTTTCTTTCCTTTTCTGTAATAAGATATAATTATTATTTAATAAAAATAACTTACTTTTTTATTATTATTATTACCCGCATTATAAAAATTATTAATAAATTTATGATTATTACTTTTAAGAATATTATCATTGTCATTACTGTTATGATTATTAGTATTATTATTATGTGATAATTCACTTGGCACAAATAAATCTCCAACTTGACTTGAAAGTTGACCAAATGAATCGCCGTCTCCAACCAAAGATAAAAATTTCGCCAGCGCACCTGTTCCAGGACTTAGTTGAGTTGTAAATCCCAATTCGTTAATATTTTCTTCGTTATCATCATCGTCATCATCCTCTTCTGTTTTATCATCATCATCATCATCACCACCATCACCACTCTGATAATTCATTAATGTCGATGATAATGACGACGATGATGATGACGACGATGAAGAAGAAGGTGATGATGATATGGGTGTTCTTTCATGATCTCGTGTAATATATTGTAATTTACATGCAATGTAACCTCCAGAATTTTGTAATTTTTCTAATTCAGGTTCATATTTTTCAAGTTGATAAAGCAATTCTTTGTGTCTTTGTAATTCATCGATCCTTAAGAAAAATAATTCATCAGGAAGTGATATAATTTGTTGTTGGATACGATATTTCTAAAAAAATTGATATTATGAATAGTTACGAATGTATAAATAAGAAAGATTGTTATAATTACCATAGTTATGAAATTCCTTGCTGCCATGTCATTGTTCTTTGTGACAATATAATATAACGGAATTAATCGATTGATTTTTGCGTATAAAGGAATTAACTCTGAAATAATATTTGAATAATCGATCTTTTTTTTCTTGCTAACTTCTTGAATAAGCGTTAGATTTACTATTTCATAAATGAAATATTATTAATATTAATTATTAAAGTTATATATATATATATATTGGATATATTGTACCTCCAGTATTTTTAATTTCATTGTCAAGTTCATTTGTTTTTTGTATGGCTTGTTGATACTGTGCTGCACTGATCACAATTACAGTTTGAAAAGGACTTGGTAATATAGTGAAGGGTATTGAAGGTTTTGGTGCGGTTGATTTATTTAAAATTATGGAATTATTTTTTGACATTTTTGGTATTGGGAAAGAAAATGGGAAAAATCAAATTCGAAAATTATATTGATTGTATTGATTGATCTTTTTTATAATAATTTAGATAACAAAATCAGTTGAACGTTACACAAACAACATAATCGAACTATTACTATCATATTCATCATCTACCACTTATTTTATACTAAATAAAAAATCATTACATAATTGATTATGCACAAAAGAACCCGGATCTTTTACCTGCATAAACCATATTAATATTAAATGGGGCACACAAAAAGAGAAAATACAACGATTTATAGAATTTCTTTTTTTTTCTTTCTTTTAGAGATAGCAGCAGTAATGGTAATTCAAACAATATTCCATTTTGTGGTGCATAAATATTTGATCATCTGCGGGGAAATGCATCCAATTATAGGCAGATTTTATTATTATTGTTGGAAAGATTTAAGTACTGATACTTCTAACTAATTTTAGAATAACAAATAGTCAATGAATTCTTTTATGTATTGTTGATTGGGCTTCTTATCATCATCATTACATTGTAATTTTGCAAGGAAATCGACAAAATACTTTAAAGAAATTGACCCTGACTTTTCATTTAATAAATCCGGCCGGGTTGTTACAAAAACCAATTCCAGGCAAGAAAAACAATAGAAGCAATTCAAGAGATGGTTAATGGGGAAAGGAGAAAGGGATGGTAGATGATGAAGAAGACGAATAGAATAGTAATATTATTATTTGGTAGTGATGGTGATAACAAATCAATAGTATCAGAGTGCAAATGGCTTCGGGTCCGAGTATTTTCCTTTATAAATTAAAAATATTATATATATTAGTTGAATAACAATTTCTCTTTTGTTGTTTAGTCCTTTCCTTGTTTGTATCATATAGATTTGATGTAATCCAAGGTAAATAAATACCAAGACTGTGCAAAATCAAACTTTTAAAGAACTGATTTTAAATGGCTGCATAATACAGTGATAATGTGAATCTCTACTTGGATCTAATTGTAAATTTTTTTACACGAGAAACTTCGAAAAAAAGAACATAGAACCCCAATTTCAATTAAACTCATTGCTAACCGAATTTTCCATTGCGTCATATCCTTTAGAGCTTGGAACACATTTGTCTATCTTTTGGCGCAACTTGATTTATGAAAAATACTTTAGCCAACAACCTCGCTAGAGTTACACATTAAGACTTGATGGATTCGTACTGGAGAGGGAAGAACAATGTCGGAAAAAAGCGATTTACGTTTATTGAGGTTATACCCAGGTCATTGTTTCATTAATTTTGAATTAAAACATTAAATATAACAATCAAAGAAATCATTTGTTGATACATTGTTGCTTCACTGATCTTAAATAATGAATTCTTCCTTTATGTTCTATTCAAGTAATATTTAATAATTTAATAATACTTATTCATATTATTTGTCAGATAATTTGATCTTGTAGTCGTCTAACTAATATCAATATGAAAAATAAATTCAATAGGTTCTGTTGGTTGTAGTATCCTTCATTGTTTAGATTAAGAAGAAATATAATAATAATCATTTAACACTGAGCTAGCTAATTAATGGATATTATTATAAATCTATTATCTATCTATCTTATCATACATGTATCTTTTCACGTTTACCTCTATCGCATACATCTTCACTGAAATAGCAATACAATCAACTTTATCTTTGTAAATAAAATCATACATATAATAAAACTATCATCACCTTTTTTTTTTTGTTGTTGTGGAATCGAAATTTATAATTAAAAATTTTGGGGTGGGGCGTTTGGATATGAAATTCTGATTGGCTAATTTGAATTTCACATACGTGAATTACAAATTCACATAGATTCCATTTTCACGCACAACTGGTTACAAGTTTTTTATACAAACGATAATTTATAAATTGTTTTGTCCTGCTTGGCGTTGCACACATCAAATGAGTTTTTCCAAAAAAATTAGAGAAATTGGATAAAAATTATATATAGCTTGTTAAACGAATCACTCGACATGATAATGCAAATGAATATGATTACATTAAACTAATCAGTCATTAGTATTTTATTCAATGATTAATCAAAAACTGTATCAGCTGTAAAAATTCATTATTTTGGTTTTTTTTTTATAAATCAAATAAATGAGCAAAAAAGTTTTTTGGATGAATTAGGAAAAGAGGGTTATATGCATAAATCAGATTGGCTTACAATCTGTGATTTTGATGTATTTATTAATATTGAGAAGAAATAACAATACATTATGTGATGGTTACAAAAAAAATTTGAGATAAAGAAATATTCATATTTTTCTATGGATGTAAAAAAATTTGCAAATTATCATTGAAATATGTATCAGATTCCATATAATGAATTTAATAATGTTGAATACTTGACCAAAGGTGGTTTTGGAAAAGTTCATAAAGCAACATGGATTGGCAATATTTTTCCTAATGGAAAATATGTTGTATTAAAATGATTATATAATTCTAAAACATTTATTATTAAATATATTTTTTTAGTTAAAAGCACATGATAAAGTTAGATTTTATCAGCTGATGTTACCAATGTTCCTAAAGAGAGCGAATATTTGTTTTGAATATGCATAATAATTTTAAATTACTTATTGCATTTGAGTAAGTTTTAAATTTTATTATTAGACTTGATTTTTTATACATATAGATATATAATAAAATATTTAAATATATTATTTTTTTTGTTGATAACATGAATTAGATTAAATAAAATTCATGGAAAAAAAATCATACACATCATGACTTGCACAGTGACAATATTCTTTCATATTCTGGGTAATATGTATAGGAGATCTAAGATGAAAAAGATAAACCAATAAAAATTTTTGGGGTTATTCCATACCTGGTACCTAAAGTAACAAGAAAACCATATATAATATAAAAGAATCAGTCATATAGTAATGTGGAAGTTCACTACCCCATTTTATGATAGATCGATCACATAATCATTGTCTTATATCAGATAATTTAAAAGGAGAGAGACCTCAAATCACTGATGATACTATGAATTTTATGCTGATATTATGCTGATCATGCATGGCCCAGAAAATAGACCAACAGCTAAAGAAATTTAAAGATTATTGAATTAGCAGAAGCTAAACAACAAGAAATTATTAATTCAGAAAAATACTTGTCAGAAACAGAGAATTATAAACATCATCCAGAATCAGTTTATACAAGTTGTTTACTAAATGAATCAATTGAGCAAGCTGAATCATTAAAATCTTTCACATCAAAACCTATTGGTTTAATTTAATGATAATAGAAAGATTATTACTATTATTCTTGTTATAATTGTTATTTATTATTTATTATTCATTGTTCAACAACTTTTATGAATTTATATGAATTCAATGGGATTATTATGGTTTAGGAGAAAGTCTTTCTGGTGGTCTTAACTCTTTATAAAGGTAATTAAATATCACCCGAGATAATTTATTATGTATGATATCATATATATTATTTTTAAAAATAAAATACAGTATAATATTATTCATTTATTATTTATTGCGGCGTAATTTATATAATAAAAAAATGCCTTGGCACTAATCTCTGGTCTTATCAAACCATGGTTCCACTCAAGATACTTCAAGTATTGGTCGTCGAGCCAAAGTTTTTCATTACAAATATTACATTTCCACTTCTGCGTTTTCCTCTTTTTTTTTTGTATTATGATTATTACTCTCTGATGTTTTGGTAGTACATCTTATTTTCTATATTATCAGTATCCAAATTCACCATGTGGTATTATTAAAAAATCTGCGTTCGGATACTTTCTTCAGTGTGGATAATTTAAAAAATTTTACACGTTGGGTAATGGTTGTAACATTTATGTTTATTATTATGTATGTAGTAGTGTAATCAATAAATAGGATTTATACAGAAGCAATTCTACACATTGTCTTCTCTTCCTATTAAAAGACCAAATGTAAACATTGCACGAGCAAACAGCAAATCCTACACAAGTGCCAGTTTGTTCTTAGAAAAATAAGGTTTTTCTTTGTATATGTGACTATCTGTATATTATCAGCTTGCTTTTCCGCAACTGATTTATTCGTATTAGATATAGGTCAATTAAATTCCAACTATAATTATTTTTCATCGAGGACTTTTTCAATTTCTCCTCACGAGGTATGCAATCAATCATCACAATACTTTTAAGTCCTCTTCTTTTTCTTTTCCTTGGTGTGGCTTTTAAACAAACTCGCATAGGTTTGAACTCGTTGGATCTATTCCATCTGCCACCACAGAAGCATTAGGCAGTCGACAATCTTATATAATGTGTAAAGACTAACATAACCCACCATAATTTTACAGTGTTTGTTAATTCTGCTAAATTACAAATTTAGTCTCTTCGATTTCCAATTCTACATCAATCCTGATTACTGCTACTGCTGCTATTACCTCTATGAAAAGAAAAAAAATAAAACAAGAAGCTATAAGTAGGACAAGAAAGTAAATCTAAAATTGTGATAAAAAAAATTTTTATTCATACAAAAATTTCACTATTTTTTCAAAAATGTCAAACATTGTTAGATATCCAAAACATTATAATAAAATATTACTGCCGTTTACTTTTAAACATTATAATAAGAAGTTTTGTTTTGTTACGAGAAATAGTAGTACTAGTTCAACAACAATTGGACAACCAGTACAACCAAAGAGATCAAATGGCGTTGGTGGGTTTCGTGGAGGGTGAGTGATTGTGGTGTGTATGTATATAAAATAATAATAATGATAATGATAACAGCAACAAAAATAATTAAAAAATAATTAATCATAATAATCATGTTATCTTTTAATATTCTATTTTGTACGCGTGTTTATTTAGAATAATTGGATTCTTATTGGGTTTAACTGTTGCAGGCGGTACTGGATATTTTTATTTATTGGAAGAGTATAAATTGGCTTCTAGTATTTCTCTTGATACAGTCGAAGAACTTCAAAAATCCACAGACAAGGTTTTAAATTAATTATTTTTGATTATTATTCGAAAATCGATGGAAGGAATAATTAGAGTTATTTATTTATTCTAGATAGAATTATTTGAGACTAATTAGAGAAGAACATTTTGAGAAATCAATTAATAAATTTATTTGTTTATTTATTTATTTTTTTACTTATTTATTTATTTATTTAAGGTACGTGATTATGCTAAAAAAATTGAAACAATAGAATCTGAATTAAACGCTCTTCAATCAGTTGCTGCTACTACAGATCAAATCAAAGAATTAAGAAGTGAATATAGGAAATTATATGTATGTGTAATGGATTATATTAAATTTCATATATTAATTTATTTCATTTATATGGATTAATTTATTTTTTAAAAAAAAAAACAAAGGATAATCTTAATATACAACATCTTGAACTTAAAGCATATGTTTGGGGCCTTGGTTAGTAACAAAATAAAAATTAATTGATAAAATTATTAAAAATTATTGATTGTTCATTAAATTGTAATTGCATATTTTAGAACAAGATATTCAAGCAAATAGAAAATAAGAAAATAAATAAATTTTTTTATAAAATTATAAAAAAAATGAGTGAATGGAATTATATTAAATAAATAATAAAATCCATATTATTCCAAATCAATGGATGAATCCCACGCATCCATGTCTCAATCTTTATAGATTTTATTTGATGATTGTATTCACAACAAATTTAAATCAAATCATGTTAATTTGGATTCAACTGTTTTTGGTCAATGGATAACACATTATTATCTCGCATTTTTTAAAAGATATTTTATTAAAGTTAACAAATTGGATAGAAGAAAATTATCCTTTGATGATAAATCTTTTCCAAATTTCAATGATGTTATCAAATATTGGAAATTTATTAGATTAAAAGAACTATCATCATTGGCATTGCAATTTGCACCAATCTATATCAGCAGAAAAATTATTTAGTTCGATAGGCTTCTTTTATAATAAAAGAAGAAACAGTTTGAATGTGAGTTTAAGTTTGAATTGTTTATGCTAATATTTCATATAAGATCATCAAATTGATTAATATTTTTTTTTCAGTATAAAAAGTTTTGGCTATGTCTCAAATCGAAGCTGAATTAATCTATGAGCAGATAATTAAGAAACTTTTTTGGTCTTTATCATTCTAAGAGTGCTTTACCATTTGAAGAGAGCGGAATAACCAACTACTTTAGATTTCTTATTATCAACAGTATATGAAGAATGGGTTTTTTGTTCTATTGTAATTACTATTATTATCATCCCCATGTAGTATCCTTTTGTTATATGACGGCGATGTTGGAATAGCCGTTGTTTTCGTTGCTGGATGACATATGAAAGCACATAATATTCTGATGCCAACTTTATATCTCCGCTTTCATCAAAATCGATTAATTTTGGTTTGCAATTCTTACAAATAGCATCCGCAATTATTTTAATTTACCTGGGCAATATTTTCTTCCTGTGCTTTCGAAGATAGACGAACTAACCTTTTCAAAAATTAAATTCTTGTTTGTTTACAAGAATCGTAATTAAAAATGAATGATCCCATCTGCCTTTTGTGTTGAAAATACAGGACAAGTAACGTATTTAATAAGCATCTATGCGATAAGTTATATTTCAGATTTCCTATCCAATCAATTAGACCCGGAAAACCATTCTAGGTATTCAAATATGCTCTTAGTTGCATGAATTTGATTTTAAATGCTTCTTTATAAGGTCAGATTCTTAGTCCTTCCATCATGCATGTCTCACTATATCTTGTGCTAAACTTCTTAAGGAGTATTATCATCTAAAAGGACCTAATTGCCAAATTTGTACTAAATCAAATCTAAATCTAAATCTAAATCTAATCTAAATCTAAATCTAAATGCCAATCCCAATCCAAATTTATTTGCAGTTGGATTTTTAAAGATTGTCAATATATTTATACGAGATGATAGCTTAGATTTTACATTAGTCTCTGACCAACAAGTAGTTCCTTATTCTCCAGGGCATTATTAGCTTATGATGTTTTCTATTGCAACTATTTGTTAATGCCTAACCTTAGTAATTTAACGCAAAATCATTCCTAGAAGTAGCAGCCAGGAGAAACAGCTTCCATATTGAATACATGATCCTAAACTTTAATATCATACCATCTCTTTCCAATATATGAATGGCAGTGTTTTTTCATGCATCCAATTTTTAAAATTATATTAAAAACAATTCTGATATATAAATCGAATGAAGAAATTTTAATAGGCATCATTGATGAAAATCCCTATATTTACATTTCTTGATATTTCTTTGTTCTGCCTTGGCATATTTATTGTAACTGGCATTGGAACCTTTATCATCATCATTATTAAGATAGTCAAAGACTAGCATCATAGTTACCATCCTGATTTATTTAATCTTTTTTGAAGTCGACCATTTCTTTTAAAATTTATCTCTGACATGTATTTAGTGAAGTAGAAGTAATATTATATTCTGGTAGTGTGGATGGTGGGTGTAAGCAGTTTCATCTTGTTTCGTGATAGTAATTCTTTTAGTTTACGATTCTACTTGTCAAATTGTCATTTCATATCAAAACGATGATTCTCTAGGAAGTTAAACAAAGAAGTCAAAGTTTAATATAGTCGCCAAACGCTTGAATTAATTAACTCAAAGTAATATGTTTCATTACTAGCTTTCTTATTGTTTTGCTTTCAAAAAACGTGACTTTTACACAATTTCTTTTATTAGCATCAAAAAATAAATCTTTTTGGGATGTTACTTGCCAGAATACATTCACTCTAACACCAAAGCGGCTTTTCTGCTCCCTGAAAGTTATCGTGTTGTACCACTTGATAAATCAACCCTTGATTCTGCAGATCTATGTGATGTATTACAATAATTTCTAGTACTGTAAACTATTTTTGTCAATACCATTATAGTGATCAAGTTTACGTCATTATTATTATCATCATATCTCCTAGTGACTAACTATTCTTGTAGATGGCGGCGAGCTTGCAGGAAAAGTTGTGCACAACAGACATCAGAAGAATTATTGGTTCATATAGATCAATGCTACAAAAAGCAAGGAGCGAATCCTTAATATCAATATTAATGCTGGCTGAAAATGCAAAACATTTATTTGAATGTAAAGGGATTGGATCATTTTTGAAATATTGGGTTAGAATAGACACACAGATATGTTGGTAGTTTTTAATTTTTTTGTGTGTGTATGAAGGTTACCAACTCATTCGACAAGTTGCCATGAATTCACTGGGAGAAAAGAGAATCTAACAAGGGTCAAAGCTGAAGGTTCATGTATGTGGTAACAAGATGAACACTCAGCTCCAACTAATAAATTAGGAGAAGATCCGATGACAAGTTCAGTAGTTAGTTCATTGATGGATCGATCCAATGCTCCAGTCAAAGACTAGGTAAATCATAAATTCTTTAAGATGATTTGGGTATCTGCCTGCATTGTTATAATTAAATTTAAGTTTTGACAATTTATAAGAAAGAATGAAGAAAGTAAATCTGATAATGTTGGAATTAATTACGATGAAATTATGTAATTACCTACAATTTAACTTTTTGGTCTCTTTAATTGTTTCAATTTTTTGGTTACAACAGAATTAATTTCATACAATTTAAAGAAGAAAAAAAAAGATGATCGAATTGTTTTGTGATTATTAAAAAAGAGTTAAAATGAAATTCTTAAAAAATTATAGAAAAAAGACAAAAAAGTCCAGAAAAAACTTAAATATTAATCTCGAGAAAGACGAATACCTAACTCTCAAAATGATAACTAACAGAAAGATCGAATAATTTAACTAGGGAAAAAAGTTGGTATGGAAATCCAAGCCCAAGGATTAAAAGTAAGGAAAGATAAAAAACCTTTATGCACTTTTATCTGATTTTGTTACCAATTATGTTAAAACATCACGCTTTGATTAAACGTCATCGTTATTAGCGTGGCTGCATTATTAGCAAAAACTTTATGCATATAAAAACATCGTGGCATAAATAATGATATTTATTTATTTTTAATGGAATATTTAATTATTTCTTCCTTCGGTTAATTTGCCTTTTTTTTATTGTAGATTTAGGAAATTCTTTTTATGGTAATGATGTAAGCACACATTTATGCATTCTTATTTTTCCTCCAAAGATTGTTAATTACATCATAACGAATAAATTTTAAATAAAAAAATGAATGGCGAGAAAAAAAATAATAAAGAATAATTTTAGTTTACCTTTTTAAATATTGGATGGCACGATAAATAGTACGCGTACCATTTACTCATAAATAGAATGAATATTTTCCAGACAAAAGGAAATAATAAATAAAAAAATTTGGATGATTTTTATATAAATAAAATTTTAAAATTTATTGAGAGAAAATGCAAAGAATATTTGATTTTTTTAAAACGCCTGGTAATGGAGAAACTCGATTTCCTCGCGAACTAGAAAACAAATATATAGTATCAAAGAAAGTGCTTGGTGAAGGTACTTTTGCTGTTGTAAGAGAATGTACAGAAAAACAAACTAATAAAAATTACGCATTGAAAATACTCTTAAAGAAAACAGTGCTAGGTTAACATCCATAACATCCATACCAATATCATTATTAGAATGTGGGAACCAATCAATTAAATAATTACTAACAAAGGATTTTTTTTGACTTATTAGATGAAAAAATGCTTTCTACCGAACTTGACGTGTTAAAAAAAGTTGATCATCCGTGCATAGTTTCTTTACATGATTTATATGAGAATAAAGATGGAGTATTTATCATAACAGATTTAGCAACAGGCGGAGAATTATTTCATCAATTATTACTCAAAGGCTCATATACCGAAGAAAATGCTGCAGCTCTAGTTAAACAATTACTTGAAGGTGTTGCGTATTTACATGATTTAGAAGTAGTCCACAGAGATTTAAAGCCTGAAAATTTACTATTCAAAGATAAATCAGAAAATGCAGATATAATGATAACGGATTTTGGTTTATCAAAAATCGTGAAAAGTGCTGATGACATATTATTGACTTCATGTGGAACACCTAGGTAAAGCTACCAACTTGCAAAAAATTTTTTTTTCACAAAAAAGTAAATATATTTCTAATTTCTAAAAATTTTTTTTTTTGCGAAAAAAAAATAAAGTTATGTAGCACCAGAAGTTTTATTAGGAGTTGGGCATGGCAAACCTGTTGACATTTGGAGTCTAGGTGTAATAATTTATACTATGTTATGTGGTTATGCACCGTTTTGGGGCGAAAATGAAGCTGCTTTGCTTGAATCCATTTTGAAAGGTTACTATTGTTACGAAGAAGAATATTGGTCAGGAATATCAGATTTAGGTAACTTTTTTTTTTAAAAAAAAAGCATTATTAAAAACATTATTAATATTAAAAACAATAATTAATATGTTATTAAACTTTTTTTTTTTTAATTAAAAAAAACCATAGCGAAAGATTTAATAAATAAAATGTTAGTATACGACCCTTATAAAAGAATAACAGCCAAGGAGGCATTACAACATCCTTGGTTTCGATCGGCCAATAAATTCGATATTCTTGAAAAGGTTAAAAGCAATCTTTCAGCCAGACAAAGATTCAAAAAAGCAATTTGTCTTGTACAAGGAGTTAACAGAATGAATAGAATGCTTAAAACCAAAAAATTACTCACCACCACTACTAATAATGATGATGATGATGATGAAAAAGAAAAATTATCAATTACCATAGATCTGCAACAAGATCAAAAACTTGAAGGAGGAATCACCGAGAAGGAAGAGAAGCAAAAAGAAGAAATATATGTCGATAAAGATATTAATATTAATAATATGGAAATTGGAAAAGTAATAGAAAATGTCCCGAATCTTTCAAAAATCACTGTAGTTAGTTAAATAGCATATAATATAATATAATATTTATTTATTTTTTAATATATCAGATATATATATATATATATTTTGTATTATTGTAATCATTTGATCTATAGAAATTTATATTAAATACAATTTTATTTTTGTCATAAAATAAATGATGCTTTTTTTCCCTACAATTAGTGCAGCATCTTGATGATATTAAACCAACCGATTCTTCATTTTCATCTATAGATTTATTCGAAACAACAATTGAAAGTAATCTTTCAATTGCTTCTTCTTGTCACCATCACCACGATCAGAATTGCTGCTGACATTGCACCACCGATACTTCCAAATCATATTCAATTAGAATTAGTTGCAATAGAAGTACCAGTAGTAGTAGTAGTAGCAGGTTTTAATGTTTTAACATACAATTGCGAATGCAAGATTAATATTAAGAACAAGCATGTCAGATAATAGATTGAGTCTAGACTTACTTGCTATGTTGCAAGAATATGAAAATTCTGGTCAAAATATCGAATATTTAAAGCGCATGTAAATACGGTTCTTTCACAAAGCTCAAAGGCTTTTATAAAGTTCATTTTATTCAATTGTGACCTTGCTTATATTTATCAATTGCAAACTTGCTTTGATTTGTTTACAAATCAACTTAAACAGCTTGTTTTTAACAAACTTATGTTTTACAATTGCCAGTATTTCCAATTAACCTTCGGACAATACTTCATTAATCGTTGTTAGCACTCACTAAAAGTAAATTACGTTACTAATCGTTGTTAACACTCACTAGTTAGTCTAACCTTTGCTTACTCTCTAAAGAAAATAAGCGTGGATTTTTACCAAGGAAATAATACATTTGTTGCTTTCACCGAAATGAAAGAAAATAAAAACAGCATTTTTATTTTTTTATTCAAATCATCATCATCATTCTAATGATTTAGATTGTTGGCTTAATTTATTTAGCAGGCAAACTTGTATAAAATAACGTTTGTAATTTTTGCGCCGGAAAGATATTTTCCGATTGAAGATTTCTTGTCGTTTTGATTATGGATTTCTCGAGCAGTTGGTCTATTGTCTTAACAGAATTATTTTATTTTATTAAGCAATTATTTTAAAGAACATTTTCCTTCTCATTCTTCTTTATACTCTTTACCACCACCACCACCATTTCTTTCATTCTACCTTTATTATTTAGAACATTTCTATCTGTTCAACTCAACCACTACAATTATACAATTAAAGTAATGCGTATTTTTTTATTCCAATTACCTGTTTATATAGAAAACCAAAAAATTTTCAAGGATATTTGCAAATGTTTCTTCTGGATGCGACGAATGAACACAAACATTTCGGATTACCTACATGCAAACCCTGGGATACGACTTCTTTGATTCGTCGAATACATGTTTACGTCAAGCCATAATTCAAAGTTGTATGGTTTTTAAATTGAAGTACTATATGTAACTGCACAAATATGACACTTTGGAATTTCATTATAATCTTATCTACCACCACCGATGAAGTTTTAATGCCATTAGTAATATTACCACGATGCTAATGATATATAAGAATTAAGTTATTATTATTGATGACATTATCAGGAATTTGAATGATTGATGAAGTTGATGATGGAATTTAAAGGTAGAAATGCAGCAACTTGTAAACCATTATCAGTTTTTTCGCTATTTGGAATTGACAAGGCAATAAAAATTAAGAGAATAAATTTAAAAAATTTTTAACTATAGTTCAATTAAACTATTGTTAAATCAAACCCACGGTTAAACCACAAAATATAAATCTTTAAATGTGTTCGGGCGTGATTGGCTAATTTAATCCTCGCCATGTTAACAAAAGGGCAGTTTGAGCTCAAGAACCCCAAAATGGTATTGATACCATTATATTCTTTGATAATTATTTGTGCAGTGTATAGCATAATAAGCCATCAAATCACTATGCCGTATGTATCATTTTTTATTACAAACATGCAGTTTAATGTTTTTTGTGTGCTATTAATATATAGTTTATCAATTTCTTCCAATATTATCAAAGCATATGGGAGCTTTTCTAGCAAAAAGGGGTTTCGACCTCATTTGACCAAAAAATTTTTTTTTACATAATATTGATCTATAA